GCTAAAGCATCAAAGGCAGATGAGCCCAAGAAAACCAGGCTGCCTCAGCCCAGCTTGCCCAGCTTGCCAGTGCTGGGCTGCTGCAACCACTCCCATAGCCCTTGGGGACACACGTCAGCAGTGAGGGGACCTGCCTTCACCAGCAGCACTTACTCCAGCAGCCACAGATGGCTTTCTCAGGCATCTGCACCACAGTCTCCAGACAGACAGCAACTCTGCGCCTACCTCACCACCTGGCTGCTTGTAGTCCTCACTGTGCACCCAGCAGCAAGCACGGCTGCCCTCGCCAAGTTCAGCTAGCACGGTAGATGCAGCCCCAAGACCTGAGCTCAAAGCAGTGTTTTCCAAAGCACTTTGCTGGAGGTTTCTAGTTTATAAGCAAAACGTTTTGTTACAGTAAAGAAGTCTGGGGAGCTAGGCGTAATGGCACCCATTGAATTCTACTCTGTAATCCCAGCACTCACAAAACTGAGGCAGGAGGATCACAAGTTCAAACCTAGCCTGGTCAATTTAGTGACTTCACAAGACCCAGTCTCAAAATAAAACTAAAAATTAAAAAAATTAAGTATGAAAAGGGTGGAGGATATAGCTCAGTGCAAAGTTCCTGGGTTCAATAACCTGCATAACAAAAAGAAAAACAACAAAAAGAAAGACCAAGAGTAAAGCCTGCAGTCTGGGCATGGAGGCACGTACCTGTAATCCCAGTACTGGGCAGGCTGAGAACAGGAAGATCACTATGAGTCCAAGCTGCATAGTGAGACCATGTACCAAATACATAAAGTGGAAAAAGGAAAAAAAAAAGAGAGAGAGAGAGAGAGAGAGAGAGAGAGAGAGCGCAAAGCTTGTGGTGTTTACATTCCTAATGCTCTCTATAAAACAGAAATACCACATCCGAAGGCTAAGGATTTGAGAAGTTGTTTAAAGAAAAGAAAATGTAGGGGATCCACAAATAGGAAAAGGTCTGCTCGACGTTTCCCAGGAGCTGGGTAACGCTTCTTCACCTGGCTGCTGCCCTCCCAGGTTCAAAGTCTGGTGCCTTTGCACAAGGATTCACTGTAGCACTGCACTCCTCAACACGGGAGAGACAACTACTGAGCCTCCCCTGTGAAGCTAACAGGCTGCCTTCCACACTCCAAACCCAACTCTGTAGGACTAGCATCTGCCTTAAATTACGCAAATTAAGCAAAGAATCAACAAGAACACCTCCAAAGACACAGAGGAGCACACCCAGCATTCTGGCACAGGGAGGATATTTACATTTATTCAAAGAATGTGAAAAATTAACCCTTAGCAAACTCCCCTCAAAGTGGACAGAGAAAAGATCTGGTGTTTAAAGTTCCTCAGCAGGCACTG